ATGAGAAATTATTTCCTACCATTTTGACATTAACACCCTATATAGTTCATGAAAATGTTAATGAGTTAAACAAAAAGGCAAAGATATTTAAAATACCCTGGCCCTTTGTCCAGTAAGATTAATAGTAAGATTAATATCTAAAAAGGCGAATATGTTAATAGTAAGATTAATGACATGCAAGAAGAAAGAAGCTCGACACGTATGCCTGAATGATGTTTAAATTAGCTTTTTTAAAAGAATGTTCAATGGCTTACGGAGGTTGTTAATAGGATTATTGATTGCGATAGGCTTGCTCGATCAATTTAGATTACAATCCATTGATTGTCGTGGTTGTATCAATTGTTGTGTTAAATTTAGAGACGGAAATGTTTAGTTGTATATTATTTTATGAGTTCTCTGTATTTTGGTCATTAATCTTTATACTCAATCATTTTTCCTACTCGATCTAGCCATGTTAACTTGCTTTCTAGACTTGATTTTGGTCCATTTTTTTCATGGAAGTCATTGTTATATACAAGTGGTGACAAGTTATTTTCTCCTTGATACTCTTTAGCAACAAACAACAATTTTTTTTTAGATCTTTTTTTTTCCTGCAACTAAAGATTTCATCACCATAAATGAATTTTTCAACAAGTGGCATTACGAATATAGAAGACATGATTAATTTGTAGAAAAAATTATCTATAAATTCCATTTTGAGAAATAGTGATCCATTTAGTCTCAAGAATTTTCTTATAAATAAATTAGTCCAATTAATTTTGAAAATGTAGATTTAATATATTATTTAAAAATTATAATTACGGTTATACTCTTATCTCTATTATTATTATTATTATTATTTTTCTTTTCTGCTAGAAGGTAAGATATACAACACATGGGAATCAAATTTGAGATTAATTTTTATATGAAAAGCTTATTTATTTATTTAGAATGACTTGAAATATAAGATTTTCAAACAGTTCAAAATGAGTATAAAAATAATTTGAAATATGGTATTCTTCAAACATTCCAAAAAGATGTGAAATTCTTCAAATATTTTAAAAGGAATACAAAAACTCCTTAGTAAGCTTGAGCAAATGTATAATTTCAATCTGTAACACTTCAATGTTATACTCAAACGTAACATTCCAATGTAACACTAAAAAAAAAAAAAAAAAACTACTTATTATTCTTTTTCCAAATGTAACCCTCCTTAATGGATTACTCTAATATAACAAAAAAATTTCTTAGTGTACTTTTTCGAAACGTAATATTTTAATGTAACACTCCAAAAAAAAAAAGGATGTGTGATTCTTTAAATCATTTCAAAATGAGTACAAAAATTACTTAGTAAGTTTTGAGTAAATGTATAATTTCAAACGGTGAGTGTTACATTTTAAAAAAGTACACTAGTTTTTTAGTGTTTTTATGTGTGTTACATTAGAGTGTTACGATTGAAATTATATTGATTGGAGTGTTATGTTTAGGAAAAGTAGACTAATAAGTTTTTTTGTGTATTACATTGGAGTGCTATGTTGTTACATTTAAGAAAAATACACTAAGGAATTTTTTAATGTGTTACATTGGAGTATTATATTAAAGTGTTACATTCTTATTCATGATGTAAGATTTGTTTTAAAATGAGAGAAAATCTAAAACATAAAATATTTATAGTGCAGATTGCCCAAATGTATAATTTTACATTTGGAGAAATTCACTTTTACCCTTTAAAAATTAAATCCAAATGTGTAAGTAACTATCATCGGTATAATTTTCACTTTAATGAAATTTTTGGATTTAAAAAAAAAAATTATAAAACCATATTTTAAAATTTGTTAATGCTTGAAATTTTGCCATTTCCTCGTAAGAATTAGGCCGGCCCTGGAGGTGGGTCGTTCAGGTGCCCCAATCAAGGGTCTAAAGAAAAAGACAACCCAATCCCAGAAAAAGCTAAAGTTGGAAAATATACACAAATATATATATATATATATATATAATTTGTATGTGGATGCAAGCTCATGTTTTTGGTAATTTTTTTATTTATGTTAATTATTATTTTTTATATTGTGTTAGGAATCATTGTGTCGCCTCTATTGTACATAATTTATTCTGGGTTTAATGGGCTTAAGTTAGGGTGAGGATAGTTGGATTTTGTTAAATTTTGAAGTAAATCAAAACTATTACTACCTACAATTTTAAAAAATTTAGAATTTAATCGAATCATAAAAATCTTGAAATCAAATTAAACTAAACCATAAAAACATAGTTCAGTTCAATTTAGAAGTACGGTTTTCATAAATTTTATCATCATTCACAATATAAATATCAAATAATATACTATTATTTTGAAATTTTTTTTGGTAGTGTGTTGCATACCATATGTATATACTTTAATTATGTAATATGTAGGTTGAATTATACATTTTAGTGAGATGAATTATGTAAGTTTGTGAAAACTTACGTGAAACTTTTATGAATAAACTTACACGAATTTGTATTCGACTTATGCATTGTTATGATATCACAAATGTAAATTCATGAAAATTTATATATGATTTTGTAAATTATGCATATGGTGTGCAACCCTCCCAACAACTTCCCATTTTATTTTTATAAATAAAATTATCTAAATAATTATTTAACTAGTTCTACTATTATACATACTTGTAAGTAAACAACACACACATATATATGTATATATGTATATATATATATAATACTAATAAGATACTTGACTGTCTACCATAAATATCAAATTATATATGTATACAATTAAACGGTCTAGTTCGGTTTTAAACTGGAATCATAACTATAAAACAACAGATCAAATGATAAAATACAATTCATATTTTTTTAATCAAAACTGAAACATGGATTGAGAAAACCAAACCAAACAAACAACATAGCATGATCCGAATAAAATTAATTTGCCATTTTTTTGTTGTTTTTACACAACCTTTCTTTGTGGAACCTTCAATTTGGAAATGATCACCCACCACAAACCCGAAGAATGTGCATAGAGTTGAGGGGCTCACGACAACAAAAACACATTTTAGTGACACCATACTAGTGGCATGTTCTTAAAAAATGTCACAAAAAGAATATTTGGTGGCATTTTTTAGAAAAATGTCATAGGGTCACAAACATACAAGGCTCTAGTGGCATTTTAATTAAAAAAAGTGTCACTTCACTACAACAAAAATATCACTACAACAAATTTATATTTTAGTGACATTACACTAGTGGCAGGTTTTTAGAAAATGCCACAAAAATAAAAATTGGCATTAAATATTTTAGAAAAATGCCACAGAACCACAAACATATAAGGCTCTAGTGGCATTTCAATAAAGAAATGTCACATAAATTTTATGATATTTTATAAAATAATGACACAAAAAATTATGTTCGTGACATTTACCAACAGATGTCACTAAACTTTAGTAGCAATGGCATTTTTTAAAAAATGTCAAGACACTAGGTAGGACAAATTACTTTTTATGGCACTTAGGTGAAAAGTGTCATAAACAAATATTTTATAGCATTTTGAGAAATACCACTAAGCCAAAAACTTTCTAAGCTTATAATGACATTTTTGAAAAAACAAAAAATGCCAATATATTTTCTAAATTTTTAAAATGTAGTAAATGATTAAAAATAAATAAATTAAACTCAATATGCACTACAGGAAAAAGCACATTCGGTGACTAAATTTCCTGACCAAAAAAAATTTGGTCGCTGAAAGTATAGCTTTCAGCGACCAAAATAGCATTAGTAGCCAAAAGTAAAGCTTTTTGGCGATTAAACAATATTAGTAGCCAAAAGTCTACAATTGGCGACTAAAACTAAGTTTCGTCGCTGATTATATGGGTTTTAGTGACTAAAAAATTTTTAGTAGCCCAAAATAAAGCTTTTTGGTGACTAAAAAAATTTAGTAGCCAAAAGTCTACAATTGACGACTAAAAATAAGTTTGGTCGCTGATTATATGGGTTTTACCGACTAAAAAATTTTGGTAGCCAAAAGTCTACAATTGGCGACTAAAAAATAAGTTTAGTCACCAAGAGTGGTCATTTTTAGCACGAAAGAACTAAAATCCTAAGGCGGGAATTAAATTTTTTGGCGACCAAAGTTTTTGTAGCTGAAAGTGCATCTTCGGCGATCAAATCCGATTTTTGTCAGCAAAAGTTAAGTTTTTTAACAACTAAAAAACAATTAGTAACCAAAAGTATAGAATTGGCGACTAAAAAATATTTTTAGTCGCCAAAAGTGGTTTTTTATTTTATTTTATTTTGCTAGTAAATAGTTTATTTTACATAAATTATATTCAATAAAATAATTATGTTTATACATATACTTTTATATTGATATGGATGTATGTACTATATAAATAATATATGTTGCATATATAATCATGTGGTGCTATAAAGGTGCAATGGGAAGAGTGTGATGTATAAGGTTTATGGTGCGGGAGGTTGACGGTTCGAGTCTCCGCAAGAGCAGATCAAATTGTTCTACAATGAATTATCGTCACGAATGACACTTGATAGTGTTACGAATAGTGCCTACCATGACATTAAAGTGTCATTGAAAGGTTTTAGTCTTGATGGTGTAATGACACTGAAAAGTGTCACTAACTCTTTTTTTAATGGCGCTTGATAGTGCCACAAATAATATCTACCATGACATCAAAATGTCATTGAAAGTTTTTAGCCATGATGGTGCAGTGACACTTGCAACTATCTACCGTGGCACTAGTATCTACCGTGACACGGATACAAATGACACTTGTTCAACATGCCACAAGATTAAAAAATGTCATTAAACTGATAATTTTGTGGCACTTTCAAATGTCACTAAATTAAGAAAATGTTGTAGTGGCCATAATAGACTTTCGGCATCTCTAAATTAGTGTTTTTGCCTTTTGAAAAAATAAATCTGATTTCTGTATAATTAACTAACTTTTTGGACTTCCTTATAAATAGAGGTTAATGTTCTACCATAACTCCATCCAATAAACCCAAAACATAATCAGACCCATTCTTCTAACCATCTGATCATCCTCTTTCTCATACTCTCTCTCTTTTCCTCATATCTAATCTATGATCGAATTCTATACACACAGAATTTTTCATCATATGGGTATCGGAAACGATCCGTGCTTCATGTTTTCTGCATTATTCCTATGTTGGTTCTCTTTCATCACCAACCATCTCTCTCTTGGAGCTGTTGACACCATTTCAGCAACCCAATCTCTCTCTGGGGACCAGACCATTGTTTCAGCTGGTGGAACCTTTGAAATGGGTTTTTACAAACCAGGCAAGTCTTCCAACTATTACATATCCATGTGGTACTACGAAGTGTCACCAAAAACCATAGTTTGGGTAGCAAATAGAGATATACCCATCTCTAACAAGTATTCCTCGGTACTCAAAATCTTAGATGGTAACTTAGTGCTTCTCAACGAGTCCCAAATCATAATTTGGTCGACAAATCATAAGTCGACCACCACCACTTCCTCAAATTTTGTTGCTGCAGTTCTTGGCGATGATGGAAATTTGGTTTTAAGAGATGGGTCGAATTCAAATTCAACAAAACCAATTTGGCAAAGTTTTGATCATCCTACTCACAGTTGGTTGCCCGGTAGCAAGTTTGCATACGACAAACGAACCAAAACACACCAAGTTCTAACTTCATGGAAGAACTCAGAAGACCCTTCACCAGGACTATTTTCTCTCAATCTAGATGCAACTAGCATCCAGTTTCTTTTGCTGTGGAATGGGTCTGAACAATATTGGACTGGCGGTCCTTGGAATGGGCAATTTTTCAGCTTAGTACCTGAAATGAGGGGTGATTATATGTATAATTTTAGCTATCACGACAACGAGAATGAGAGTTATTTCATATATACTCCATATAATTCTTCATTTATTTCTGGATTTATTATGGATGTTTCAGGGCAAGTCAAGGTAGTCACCTGGTTGAGAGGTACCAAGGAGCGGAATGTATTGTGGACTCTTCCAGTACAACAATGCGAGGTTTACGCTTTCTGCGGGGCATTTGGCACCTGTAATGAGAATACATTGCCTTTCTGTAATTGCCCGAATGGTTTCAATCCTACGTCGAGCAATGACTGGAATTCGATGAGTTATTCTGGCGGGTGTATGAGGAGAACCGAGTTAGTGTGTCGAAATAATGAAAAGAAAGACACGTTTTTGGAATATCCCAACATGAGATTGCCTAAACATCCTCGGTCTGTGGCTGTTGGGAGTGCTGAAGAATGTGAGTTTACCTGCTTGAGTAACTGCTCTTGCACTGCGTATGCTTACGACAGTGATGGGTGTTCAATTTGGATTGGAGACCTCTTCAATATGCAAGAACTCCTTGAAAACGATGATCGTGGAAGAACTCTTTATCTCAGAGTCGCTGTGTCTATGTATTCAAGTGGTAAAAATAAAAAGGGGATTATTGGCGTCGTTTTGGGTTCAGTTTCAGTCGTACTAGTATTCTCGGGCCTCATTTTTGCTGTTGGAAAAAGAAGGCAAGTAGACGAAGAGCAAACAACAACAGTTTATGGTTCATTGGTTGCATTTAGATACAAAGATGTGAGAAGAGCAACCAAAAATTTCAAGGAGAAGATGGGGGGAGGAGGTTTTGGTTCTGTTTTCAAAGGGAAATTGCCCGATTCCACTACCATAGCTGTGAAGCAATTGGCAAGCGTCAACCAAGGAGAGAAGCAATTTCGGGCAGAAGTCAGCACCCTAGGAACAATCCAACACGTTAATCTTGTTCGCCTTCATGGGTTTTGCTCTGAAGGTAAAAAGAAGCTATTGGTATATGAATACATGCAAAATGGATCCTTGGACTCCCATCTTTTTCATAAAATGGAGTCAAAGGTCTTGGATTGGAAAACAAGGTACCAAATTGCACTAGGGACAGCCAAGGGGCTAGCTTATCTCCATGAAGAGTGCAGGGATTGTATCATACATTGCGACATTAAGCCAGAAAACATTCTATTAGATGTTGACTTCAGCCCAAAAGTAGCAGATTTTGGGCTCGCGAAGCTTCTTGGGAGAGAGTTCAGCAAGGTTTTGACAACCATGAGAGGGACAACGGGGTATCTTGCGCCAGAGTGGATATTAGGGGTAGCCATCACAAACAAAGCTGATGTCTACAGCTACGGTATGATGCTTTTTGAATTGATATCGGGAAGAAGAAATACGTATCAATCTGAAGCAACTAAATACTTCCCAATTTGGGCTTCGAGTGTAGTCATAGAAGGAGGGGATGTCTTTAGCCTATTAGACAGCAAGTTGGAGACACATGTTGATGTTGAAGAGGTATGGAGGATTTGTAAACTTGCTTGTTGGTGCATCCAAGACGATGCGAATCATAGGCCATCAATGGGTGACGTAGTTCAGGTCCTCCAAGGGATTCTGGATGTGAAACCGTCTCCAATTCCTCGTCTGCTCCAGGCTCTTGTTGATGACGACTAAGAGCATATCGTTTTTGCATTTCTTCATTATGCCACAAAATTCACAACCACGGCACAATCCAGTTTCTAGTCTGTGACAATAACAGAAAGATGTGCTTGAGCACTTCTCTCTTTGATTATATATCCTCTCTTCTTTTTTTTTTTTAATTTTATTTTTTGTAAAAGCCTTGGACCATGGTGGTGTGAGGCTTCTTTTGTTACATGCTATGTTTTGCTTTGTTCTGTTATTAATCAATGTGATCTGTGTATGTTTTTCCTATAGGTTTGTGGGTTGTTCACTTTTCATCTATATTACTTTCAAGGTAAATTATACTTTTCACTCTGTAATTTTATTTAAACTAGCGATTGAGCATATTTACACTAGCAGTTGGGCATGTGCGTTATACATTGCACACGATTTTCTTTTATCAACTGTTAATACTGTAACGATGCATATCTCTTAAATTGGTATGTGATATGTTTACAAAGTATGGAGGCTTGTATAGGAAAATTGATCTGTATTTAAAATATAACTAAGCAAGAAATAAATACATACTCGGCTAAAAAATTTAAATGATAAATGAAAAATTTTATAAACATAAATATTAATTTATAGCTAGATTGTTGAGATCACAATCTTATCTTAAACAGTAAATAATAAGAAGGTCCTTTAAATATATAGTATTACCCAAATTTTTTTGTATCAATTTCTCACTTCAATTTTCCATAATCCGTATCTTTAACACAGTTGAAGGTATGAAATTAATTGCACAGTTACATAATTTTGTTTAATAGTTCATCTCATAATATAAATTCATTGAACCCACTATTGCATATTATTTGTGTACTATTGGTGTAAAAATGCATTAATATGAACATGTAATATATTTTTATACATCAAGAGTTGTTAAGTCTCATTTCCTGTGTTACAAATATCTTGCATGATGAAAAATATAACATTAGTCATTAATATATTTTCATTTATGTAAAAAATGTGGAATAATTTTTTTAAGAAAATGAAATGATATTGTAGTTTAATATTTTGATCGATATAGGAATTTCATAATTATTTTCACTATGTTTATAAATCTATGCTTATAAGTATTTGCAGGGTCACTTTTATGACATTGTCAAATTACATAATTTATTATGGCATCTGTAAGTAATTACCATATAACAAAAATTGATCAAAACTTTTTATTTGATTTACTTACTTTATGTATTATTGAGTTGCTGCGATAATGTTTGGATATCATTTGATTTTTTTCTTGTAATTTAACTAAAATGTATGCATAAGGTACATTATTTTTTCTTGAACTTCACAATAGATAGGATAATTCCTGCTTCAACTCGTCTAATTTTGCTTGGAGAGCATGTTGCAAGATCTTTTGTAGTTTTATTTCTCCTTTTTGTTTTGTTTTTTTTTTTTTTTCTTACTCACCACTATAACTCATTGTAATAAAAATATTTTGATGAGTAAGAGTTTGAGGCGATATCATATTATTATAAATTTCAAAATCTATTTTCCCTCAATAATGTAATTTTTTATGTGAGGGGAAAAAAAAAACAATTACTGTTGTGATGGAGAATTTTGCGAAGTCTTTTTGTTATTGAAAGTGTTTGTTGTGAACATTTATTTGTATGACATGTATGTATATATGTACTAAATATAAGTTGATAGGAAAACAATAAAAATTCTGCAGTTTTTTCCTAACAAATATAACTATATTTCTAAAGCTATATGTGCTAGAAAATTAAAGTATCCGATGGTAATATAGTATTACAGATTGACAATGTATGAATACAGTAATATATATAAATTTACATTTATATTTTTTTTTATATATTTATCTATATAAATATTGACATATATAAGATATCACAAAAGTAATATGTAAAATCTTTTGTAATAATATAATACAAGTAACAATGAGAAATTAGTTAGTCATAATTAAATAGTTGATTATAATGTAGATGTTTAGTGTTACATTTTTTTTTGTGTATGCACCATTTTTAATTAGATTATTAAATTCATATAAAAATTAAAATTTGTGAATAATTTGTATAAACTTAGAGATTAGTGAAGAAATATTTAAAAAAGAAGAAGTTTATAGTGTTTGGTTTGGTTTGTTTTTTTAAACATTTATTTTGAATTTTTGAATTTTCATATTTTTTTTGGTCTTTGACAGTGTTTTTTTTTTTAAAAGACCTTTTTTTTATTTTTTATTTTTAGATTCACTTAATTTAATACTTTTTTATTTTTTAAAATTTTACTTTTAGATTTATATCCACTTAATCTAAATACACTTAGAAAATAATTTGTTGTGTATTTTTTTTGAAAAAATTATTAATATTAAATAATAATAATAACAAAAAAAAATATAATAATAAAAGATCAGTATATATTTGAATTTATAAAGTTTTTTTACCAATATTTTACTTTTTAATTCTATTCAGATTATTAAATATTGGATTTTCATGTAAAAGTATAATTTAAATATAAAATATAAAGAAATTCTAGTATCTTTAATCACTAAAATTGAGAAAATATGAAATATTAAAAATTAAAAAACATATTTAAAAAATAAGACTAACGAAAGTGGTTCTTGTTTAAAATTTTGACATCATACCTTTTTTTTTTTTGATCGGCAAAAAACTTTATTGATTAGAAGCAAAGTACAAGTTACAAAACAAAACATCAATAAAAGAGGCGAGTGCAAAAGCATCACGATGAGCAAAATCATCCAAACTATGTTGTCACAAAAAACCCATTCTATGATTTGCTAGCACCCCCAAAGTTGGTGAGCCACCAACCAATAAAACAGAAGAAAGACTAGCAACATAAACAGATATCTACAATATTAGCACAGGTTAACATGAGCTCAACCTATCAGTTTTAGCACAACAAGCACAAAGTAGATATCTCCTCTATATCATTAGCACAGCTTGGCAGTCACCATGGCAGTTACCATATTAGTTCTGCATTCCACAGATAAGCATAGCAGACACAGAACAAATAGCCTCCCCTATAATATTAGCACAGCCTAGCAGTCACCATAATAGTTCAGACCGTGACCATATATCAGTACAACATATCAGCCCAACATATCAGTACAACCCACCTCTCTCTATTAACAACAATCTATACTTTGCACCCTGCTACTACCCATACATACCTTGATTATACAAGCCCTACAACTAGAGAAACTCCTTTACAACCTTAGCATAGCATGGCAGTTCAGCACTCCACTACTAAGCTTAGCAGACCAACAGATCAGGTCTTTGGTTCTTCCTATTATCGCCCACCCAGACTTTGCAGCCTTCTTCCTCCCAAACAATACCTGATGCCTCTGAGATTAGAGATGAAATCCTGATGGATAACTCTCAAACAATGAAATAGAGTTGTGCAGCCAAAACACCAGCAGCTGCCCCATTATATTGAACAGCAAATCTGTTTTCTTAACATGAAGCATCTATCTATATGTTCATATCATTTGTTTATTCCTATCCTCCAATTCCATTAGTGGTATCATAACAAACTGAATAGAATGAGCACCTGAAACAAGATGGTAGAATCCAATCCACAGACCAATAAGCAAAACAACATGAGACCTGTGCATACCTCTGTTACCATGAGCACCATTTAGACCAACTCCCAACCGTTCAAAACAAATACTTCTGTGATGATGCTACCATGAGCACTATCACACCATTGATGGACTGATGAACCAAAAAAATCATATGGGTAGGCAGAGTACTAGCGAGTAATAACAGTAGAGAAAAGATGCCACCAGACTTGATCCAGATCATTCAGCCTCCATTTCTGATGCAAAACTTCACCCTTACAGCAACCACCAAGACTAGCAGCTAGCAGAAGCACAAGATCGGCAAATGCCTTACTCCCTTGTGAAGACCTAAATAGCAGAGAACACTCCTCAGCAACTAGCACTGCAAAACAGAAACTAACCCAGGACTTGCAGCCTGCATCCAATATTGGACCTGCTAGCACTATGGAAACCACAATAGCAGTCCAACATATCAACCACTAAGACTTGCAGCCATCTTCTTCCTATACAAAACTAGGAAAAACAGAGCCCAAACTAACCAGACAGATACACACTCCAGCAGGAACAATTAGAAGACTAATCTCAATTAAGTACACCAGTAGGTTCAACTACATTTATCAACACCAGTAGAACTAAATCAGCACAAATAACTGCTGTAGGTTCAACTCCCATTTTGTCACGCCCCAAATTTTAATTACTCGGAAACATTACAAAAAACCTATAATTTGGGTCCATTTTTTTTTAAAAATACAAATATCTATTACTCTTGAGTAATAGAAACATAAAAACACTTGTTCTCTCTAACAATGAATACAACAATAGTAATAGTAGATGCCGAGCTTTCGGAGTTACAAATAAATAAATACAAACATCCATGTTCAATAAGATTACACATAAGAGATACATGAACTTCTTAACTCTTCAACCAATCAATCCGAATTCTCTTCCAGTAAGAAAAAAATGAAACGAGGGGTGAGCACAATTGCCCAGTAGGAATCTCATAATTCTGAAACAATAATCGTCTTATAGATAGAAATGATCATGCATACAAGGTGATATCATATAGTACGGTGACATTTTTGTAATGTTAAAATATCATATGTAGAGTATCTTTTTCTCGAAATTTATTTAAACATTTAAGGAAAACCTTCGACCATCAAAAACTATCCATTTTCATCGGAAAACCATAAATCCTTTTTGGAAACAAATATGTTTAAAGAATCACATCATTTTATATTTATTAACCCATTCCAAAATATTCCTCATTTAATTTCCATCTTAACATTCCTCTTTTTATTTCTATTCTCCCCTTTTACTAGTTACATTTATTATAACATCATAACCTCAAGTTCAAGTTTTTTTAATACTCCAAAACATCCCACATACATGCTACTCCCCACCAATCTATTCATATTTGTTGTAACTCCTCAATGTAGAAATCCAAATCCCCTTTATATTTAATAATTGTTATCCTACACTTAACTCGTACTTATCTAACAACTACATCACATCCACACTTGCATTATCAACTATAATTCAATATATCACAACTACATCATATCCACATGTGTGTTATCAATCATAATTCAACATATCACAAGGATAATAAACCCTTTTAATTCAATTCTTTAAATAATTTCTATATGCATTCCCTTTCCATGCCAAATTACACATCAATTGT